CCTAAGGCTTGTGCTTGAGACGCTTCGAGACAAACAACTCTTTGCCAAATTCTCTAAATGTGAATTTTGGTTTAAGGAGATCGGCTTCCTCGGGCATGTGATATCGGGTTCGGGCATCTCAGTTGACAACTCCAAGATTGAAGCAGTCACTAATTGGGAGAGGCCCAAGAATGTGAAGGAAATCCGGAGATTTCTCGGTTTAGCGGGGTATTACCACAAATTTGTGGAGAAGTTCTCGGTGATAGCATCTCCACTCACAAAGCTCACTAAAAAGGGGGATAAGTTTATGTGGGATGACAAGTGTGAGAAGGGGTTTCTTGAGCTAAAGAAACGTTTGACTGACGCACCAATGCTTGCTCTACCCATGCAAGGGTTAGGGTATGACATCTATAGCGATGCTAGCATCCAAGGGCTTGGATGCATACTGATGCAATCAGGGAAGGTAATTGCTTATGCTTCTCGGCAGTTGAGAAAGCATGAAGTAAATTACCCCACACACGATCTAGAGCTAGGAGCTGTGGTGTTTGCATTGAAGATTTGGAGGCACTACCTCTACGGAGAATTGTGTCACATCTTCACTGACCACAAGAGTTTGAAGTACGTGTTCACTCAGAAAGAGATGAACATGAGACAAAGGAAATGGATGGAGTTGATCAAGGATTACAACTTGATCATAGACTATCATCCGGGCAAGGCTAGTGTAGTAGCCGATGCACTGAGCAGGAAGAGCTCATCAGGGGTTTTACTCACATGCCTATGGGCATTGAAAGCACGTGTGGAGGGATCCACGGACGGGGCCTTAATTGCCAGATTTGAGGTGAGACACACCTTATTGGAGGAGATCAAGACACTTCAGGGCACTGACGAGGAACTACAGAAAGTACGAGGACAGATGTTAGCGGGTCCCGTGGAGGATTTCCGAGAGAGAGAAGATGGACTCTTGCTATTCAAGGAACGAGTGTGTGTGCCATCAGATGAGGAGCTCCGAAAGTCTATCCTTGAGGAGGCTCACTCATCTGCTTATGCCATGCACTCGGGCAGTACGAAGATGTATCGAGACTTGAAGGAGAGTTACTGGTGGTCGGGGATGAAGAGGAAGATTGCAGAATTCGTGAGCCGTTGCCTTACCTGTCAGCGGGTTAAGGTAGAGCACCACCATCCAGCGGGGTTATTACAACCACTTACCATTCCAGAATGGAAGTGGGAACATATTACTATGGATTTTGTGGTGGGACTGCCACGTACAGTTAGAAACCATGATGCGGTGTGAGTAGTGGTTGATAGGCTAACCAAGAGTGCCAATTTTCTTCCTATCAACACTACCTATACACTTGAACGACTGGCCAAGTTGTACATAGATGAGATTGTGAGTCTGCATGGGGTTCCGATTACTATAGTATCAGATAGAGACCCACGGTTCACATCATGGTTTTGGCCTAAGTTTCAGGAATCCATGGGTACGAAGTTGAAGTTTAGCACCGCTTTTCATCCTCAAACGGATGGGCAATCTGAACGTGTGATTCAGATTTTGGAGGACATGTTGAGAGCATGTGCCTTGGAGTTACAGGGGAGCTGGGACAATCAGTTAGCTTTGGTGGAATTCGCCTATAACAATAGTTATCATGCGAGTATAGGCATGCCTCTATACGAAGCATTGCATGGGAGGAAATGTCGGACACCTTTGTGTTGGGATGAGGTCGGTGAGGCTAAGCTTGAGGGCACCAAGCTGGTTGAGATCACCAAGGAGAAGGTGAAGGTTATTCATGATAGGCTTAAGGCTGCCCAAGACCGGCAGAAGAGCTATGCTGATAAACGTCCCAGTGTCTGTATACTGTAAGTTAGCCTTGACTTGCACAATTTTAAAAAGGTCACTTTTGATACACAAAAAGGCGTTACTTAGAAATGCAACTCTTATTAGAGGTGTAATATTATTATCTAAGAAATGCATAATTGTACAATTGCAGCTATGTTCCCACTCCAGTCTTGGATATTATTGATGTCCAACCTAAAGAGCTTGGCATACCTACTAAAGCATACTATGTTGTTGAGGAGGTCAAAGAGGTAAGATCATAAACACCTTACCTTCTTGTTTGAGGGAGAAAATAAATTGATGAGAAAAGATGTATTCTTTTAGTTTGTCTATATGTGCAATTTATTGTCATCATTTTTTAAGATGCCTTATTGTTAAATAGTTGTACAAATATACATAATGAAACTCAAAAGAGCCAGAAGGTCTTTGTACACGCCCCTTCAGAAATTGTTGCTCATGAAGTGGAAGAGATTGGTCTGTTCTCTTATCCCAACTTCTGTATTTTTTTACTTTATCCAGTTCAAATGGGGTTTTGTTGCTCTACCACTGTGTGATAGCATTAACATTTTCTCTGATTTTTTCCATCTTATGTCAGCATTTCCACTTCTCTTTCTTATTATATATAGGGGTCGAGCACTTGCTGAGGGATGTCAAGGATACCACAATCAGTACGCTTGCAAGAGAGGTTCACTTTCTCAACTTGCTTAATGTTTGTTTTAAATGTTTGTTCTAATGGCTTTTCAATTTAATGTTTGTTCTAATTGGTTTTCAGTTCTTATTATAATTATTATTTCTTTGATAAGTTTTATCACACACCTTTCTGTGTGGAATCTGAATTGGGTTTTTTATTCTATTTGACAGAGAATAAAGAAATTAAGGATTTAACTGGTTTTATTGAAGTTTGAAGAATATTGTGGTGAGAAGAAGCTTGAAGAACTAAAGTGCACTCAGGAAGAAGCTTCAAGAAGAACACTCAAGTAAGCTTAATGTTTGTTCTAATTGCTTTTCAGTTCTGTCATTAATGTCTAATGGTTTCCAATTTGCATTTACTAAGATTTAATAAGTTTTGGCTCTCATTTGAACTTTTTGGGCAAGCCTGGTATGGCTTCGGCAACAAGACTACCATGTTAGCAATTATAATATTAATATAGGAAAAGTGGAAAACATATTGAAGAAGGAAAGCGGTTCCAGAATAATAAACAAAATAAATAGAATTAGAGGCAAAAGTATCACTTTTTGTGGCTAGAACTTGTAGCATAGATTTATACTCAAGCTTTCTGTGTACAAAGCCAGCCTTAGAGTGTCAATCCATATTGCAAGAAAGAAGAAGATGGATTTGACCCAAAAGTATAACAAAACTAATGGGTGAAAATAAGTTTGTTGTGTACTCAAGCTTTCCATGTAGTATCACAAAAGTATCATTTTTTTGTGTCAAAGTCATGTGGATTGATTTCTAATGGGTGAAAATATTTCCATAGAAAGAAGAAGACGAATTTGACAAAGTTAAAACATACTCCCTATAATACTATAAAACAAGCTAAAAAGAAGAGGAAGTTTCTTCTTAGCACCACACCACAAGCATAGAAATCTGGAAACAAATTTAACTAATGAAGTTAAATTTATCCATAAGTGCCACATCACTTCTTAGCAAACTGAACTACTAAAGCTACTTAAAGCTTGAGACACAAATTTACGTATATGCTGCTAATTAGACAACAATGTGCAGGAAATTCATTCAACACTTCTTTGGGAGCATTGAGGTTTCAATCAGTGAGAACTCTGGAACATCTCCCCCCCCCAACTCATGCATAGTGGCAACGCCTTTGGAGACATCGGTGAATCCCCACAAATAGGTGTGCTATTGTCCCTTCAATTATTATTATCATTATTATTTCTTTGATAAGTTGTATTACAAACCTTTCTGTGTGGAATCTGAATTGGTTTTTTTATTCTATTTGACAGCGAATAAAGAAATTTAACTAATTTTATTGAAGCTTGAAGAATAGTGTGGTGAGAAGAAGCTTGAAGAACTAAAGTGCACTCAGGAAGAAGCTTGAAGAAGTAAAGTGCATTGAGAAGAAGCTTGAAGAAGTAAAGTGCATTGAGAAGAAACTTGAAGAATTAAAAAGTGCACTTTGAAGTGCATTGAGAGAAACTTGAGTCATTGTTATAAATCTTTTGTTTGAATAATTAAATTTAATTCAAATGTTTCTCGATTGAAATTAAGTGTTCGTAATTTTTTCTAGGTTTATATGCATTGGGATGTAAAGCTCTAGTGTTCTACGTACTTGTTTTTAGAAAAAACAGCGCAACCGTTATCTATTTAGAGATATAATATAATATAACATGAAGTATAATATATATTAATATACATTATTAAAATGAAAAGCATTATTTAGAATTGCATTTTTTTAAATTTAAAAAATTGACTTTCTATAACGGTTCATTGACAACTGATAGGATAAGTCTTCCGTAAGGGTTAAAAACAACCGACACCGAAAGGGTGTACTTTCCATAACGGTTCCGAAACCCATATTAAAAGTACCGGACTTTTAATAGATGCTGCAACAATAACGGTTCTGAACCGTTATTAAAAGTCCATTATAACCGTTATTAAATCCATATTTTCCACTAGTGCAAGACACATATATATTCTTAGCTTAACTATACTAATTACATGTAATTAATTTCTAAACACTGTTGGGAAGCTCAATTCCCTCCTCTTTAGACTCATCCTTTTCACTCTTGTGGATCGCAATTGGTTTGAAAGTATAGAACTTAGCGCAAAAAAGGTAGTAAACAAAGTTGAACACTTGTAATAGTGTGACCAACCAATAAAAGTACTCCAATTTCCCCTTGTTCAAATTGTTGTCCGGAAGCCAATTTGATCCACCTGGGCCTGAGCTGAACTTGTGCACCAGAGAGACCAAGAATGAGCTTGCATAGTTCCCAGCCGCAATGGCGGTCCAGAACAACGCTGAGGCGGTGCTCCTCATGCTCTCCGGAGATTGATCATAGAAAAACTCGAGGTGCCCGATCGACATGAAGGCCTCGGCAATTCCATGTAGGCAATACTGTGGGACCAACCAGAAAACCGGGATCGGTATTGTCACATCCGCCACGTCGGTTAACCCGTGGACCGAGGCGACGTGCTTGCGCTTCGTCTCCACGAACCCGGCCACGAGGGTGGCGAAGATGGAGATGGCAAACCCAATCCCCATGCGGGTCAAGAACGAGACACCGCGTTGGAGGCCCGTGATCCTGCGGGCCACGGGCACGAAGACGCGGTCGTAAAAGACAATGGTGCACAACATTGACGAGAGAGTGAAGACGGACATGGAGGCGGCCGGGATTTGGAAGGAGCTTGTGAGGTGTCTATCCATGGTTTTGGCTTGTTGGATTGAGAATGTGTTTTGCTGGGCGTAGGCTGTGATGAGAATGATTCCGGATGCCCATATTGGGCCCATTCGGATCACGGATTTGAGCTCTTCTATCCGGTGGACTGTGCTTAGGCTCCATAGATTGGGGCATTTTGGGTCCTCGTTCTCCATTATAATTGCCGCCTTGTCAAGGAACCTTCACAAACGGAAAGATCAAGTCAATGCAATTCCTTTTGAACTTTATTTTTATATAGTTTGTAATTTAAATAGCGACTTTTAGATCAACTGGTAATAATAATTCAATCAAAGTATACAAATTTAATGAATTGATGAAATATTTTTTAGACTAGTAAAATATAGTACCCCTTATGATTTTTCTTAAATATGGAGCATAATAAAATATTACTCACAAAATATAAAGAAACATATTTTTATCCACTTTGTTTATTTTAGTCACACATTTATTATCGACATCATTGCAAAGTATAAACTACATAGTAATGTAGCATTATATTATACTCCCTCCGTACATAGTAAATTATTTCAAAATTGCTCCTTTTAAGAGGATATTAAACATATGCAATCTAAATGTTAAATCATGATATAACCAAGCATTCCATTTCAGCTGGTTGTGAGGTTATCGTGTCTAATGAGAGTTTTTGAGTTCGAAACCCGTCAGACACACAAGAGTTTGAAATTCAATGAAGTGAGTTTCAGCACTGATTACTCCAAACCTCCAGCCCCTTACCCTAGACCCCCGGAGAAAAAAAAATCTAAAATCATGATGTTGGGTTCCCGTTCCCCTTTTTAAAATATGGAGTATAGGAAAATGTAAAGACAAATATATTGAACAATAGGCAACAAATAAAATTAACTCATGAGAACATACGAGTGATGATATACTAGTACCAACTTTCCTAAGCTATATACTCTCCTGTATAATAAGGATGTTTTTACTTGGACTGTAATTCGTCCCAGACCAGACCAGATCAGACCAGACCAGTTCAACTAGACCAGACCAGACTTGGATAGTTATAAAAATACAAAGAAACCAGACAAGACCAGACCAGACCAGTTCAGACCAGACCAGATCAGACCAGACCGGCAAATTACAGTCCAAGTAAAAACATCCTAATTCACCGTAAGTAATTTTTATAATTTATCCTGACTAACTGAAATAAATGCTAATTTATATAGATGTCATATTAATATACATATCACTATTTTTATTTTTAAATTTATATAAGCATCCATTGAAGTTTGGTCCATTTATGATACCATCTTGATAAGTTAAATATATCCCTCAACAATTCAATTTTTTTTGACAGAACAATTCAATTCAAATAGTTAGTAGCTATGTTCTTCGGGAACTTTCATACAATATTATATTTAATTAATATTTAAAATACTTAAAAGTTAATAGTTCCAGAAACACCAATTTTCTAAGTTTATACACGCAGACACGGTTGAGGATAGACTCGTGTTTAGTTTGTCAATCACCCACACCAAAACACGAAACTCAATTTAGACCATACCCGGACGATATGACTTCGATAATAAAAGACAAAAATATAATATAAATAATATTTTCCTCATTTATTTGTTTCCTATCCTACATACATGCATACATGATAGACTCGGATGGATATTTTAAGATCTCATATTCTTATCATATCATTTTATCAATTTATATTTTACTCATAATAATGATAATAAGATCCTAAAGTTACAATGTTTTTACTTGAACTTATTTTAATCTCGGGTTACATTAGACTAGATTAGACCGGACTTAAAGAGATTGGATTATTACACTTGAACATACAAGATCATGCCGGACTGAAAGATATCAGACTTAAACAGATCAAATTTAAAAGACCAGACCAAATTAAACTAGATTTCAACAGTTATAAATTATAAATTACAGAAACAGACATCTACCAAACAAGACCAAACTAGATCTCATGTGAAGGCACATTATATAGTAGTCTATTGATATTTGTCATTATTGTACATTTTACGAGAAGGTATGTACTCAAAGTCTGAAATGAATGCTATTCAATCGTGTTTACACTAGGCAGTTTCATCCAGATTACTCAAAATAGAAAATTAGATGACGTCCTCTTGTGATTGACAATTTAGAGCATCTCCAATTCTAAAACGTTAACGATGCATACGTGACATGAGAAATAATCAATTAAAAAACAATAAACAGATTGTCTCCCTTCTTATTTGAATGATCTTACATTATTTTGGTAAGTTTTTCTCCACAATGTCAAACACAATGTCTAGATGTACACATTGTAGTTGACTTTGCAGACAAAAACTTACCAAAAACTCATAAGACCGTGGAAAGAATGAGAGAGAAATCTCATAAACTCGATATATTGTATGTATCTCTCTCATGCCATATGTGCATCGTGCACATTGTAGCATTGGAGATGCTCTTAGAGCTCAGTATGCTAACATCACATTCTCATTTTTGAACAATATACGACCTCTTTAAATTGGTGTAATTTATCATGGGGGTTTGGCATGTATATTAGTTAAAAATAGACCATGGACAAAAAAGAGACATTTTTTTAAACTTTCCAAATATGTGACTAATAAACACTTAACTCTCTAAATTACCCCTCGCTTTCAGCACTGCATCCACATGACTGCAGTAATGTAGGCCACAACATAGCCGTACCAAAGTATTACGTGTCATTGCATCCTTTATTAATTAATTCTTCTTTCTATTTATATATTTTTATTTGCAATAGTAGATATTTGGATTTCAATATTTAAATTATTACATGAAAATAATTGTGAAACGCTACAGTGACATGAGATGCAGTGACATCCACCACCACCACCCACCACCCCCGATCGGTGACCGCCGCCGACCGGAGACAGTCGCCGGCCATAGTGACAACGACGAAGTGACATCGCCATAGTGACTTCGTCGTAGTGATAGTCGCCGTAGTGACTCCACCGTGAACCACACCGACCAGTGACTGCCGCTGCCCCCTCCGGTCACAGTGACATGCCGACTCTGGTCATAGTGACACCTCCATAGGTACCTGCCACCATAGGTCACCATCAACCACCAGACCTCACACGTCTACCCACCACCGGCGACCTGCTAGCACACTGCTCCTAACCTGGCCGTCGATTCAGTGACATGTCTTCGGAACAGTGACCTCCGTCCCCGGCTACAGTGACCTACGGCGGAGGCAATTGCAATGACCACCTTCGCTGACCATTACAGTGACATGTCCTTCCCAAAGACCCTACCCTGCCCATCCCCATTTCCCCTGCTCCTGCAACACCGCCTCCTCCACGACCATTTCCGACCAGCTCAACATTTCCTGCCCCACCGACGTACACCGTCACTGTCCCCGGCCAGCACCCCCTAGTACCCCCACATCACACACCTATCCTACAAACAGCGTAGCGACCCCATTGCCGCTTAACGACCTCGACCCCGTCTAGCGCCGCATCACTGACGTCGATCATCAACGCCACTTTCAGAGCAAAATCATTGCTCGTCTCCGAACAGTATCGCCCGCTGTGGCACTCAGTAAGGCCGCCGACGTCGCTGTGAAACAAACCCTAGGCAGATTCGTACTCCGTCGCCGTAATCAATGATGGAGCTGCAATCGTTGACGTCGCCATCCTCAGCAATGTCATCATGGTCTGGTGATACGCCGCCATCGACGACGTCCAGTGTAAGGTCGTGGTCATTGTCCGCTGCAAATCCATCGTCCTCAACCAGGTTGCCGTCGCCCTCAGCCACGCCGCCGTCTTCCTCAGCCAAACAGTCGTCGATCGTCTTTAGGTAGGCCACCATTCTCATTTAGCCCGTCCGCCTCCACTTTCATAAAAAAACCTAGTGCATAGAAAGTATATAGCAGAGATGGGCAATTCGACGGGTGAGAAAGGAAGGGTTAAGCTAAGTGCAGGGGTGCTTTTGTCTTCCAATTCTATTTTACTCACTTTTGTGTCTAATCTCAACTTTAGTCTTACTTTTGTCTTTTTAAAATCGTGTACTATTATTTATGCCATTATTTCATACTCTCATGGACGTAATACGAGTATGTTAAAATTGTTCTAGCTCTCAAATTGTTTGTCATCGTTTTCTATACTGTTCGATCTGTCCTTTCATTTAAATTCCTTATTTCCCTTATCACATAGATTAGGCAATAAACCATAGGACGTCACATAGTTTTGCATGAAAGGGGTCACAATCTTTTTTATGAGATTTAAAAAGAGTGAGTATTTTTTATCAGATCAAACTTAAAAAGATTAGGAGGGTGTTTGTGCAATGAAGTTTTAGCCTAAAACGCCATTTTTTCAACATCAAACGTACTAAAATGCAACATTTAGGCTACCAAAACGCTAACACCGCGTTGATCATTGTAAATCTAAAGATTTCGCAAGTCCTTTAATCTCGCCGTAGATTCTTGATCATATTCCTCCTATGGTATGTTCATAACAAAATTTATCTAATCGGAGCTCAACCAATATAAGATGGTTATCCATATCCTCATATTTTGTTATAATATGATTGAGGGCGCGGTTAAGAAAACAACAATCTTGTCAAGTACGTTGTGATCTAATGACATCGTCACATTCCTAAAAACGAGATTCAAATCTCATTCCAATTCAAGAATGTTATTTGAAGATAGAAGAGATACTATAATAAATTCTAAAAAAGACGACCCTCTTAAATTGTTGGCAAAAGGTACATACGACTCCATGTGTACAACTCTTCCGTTGCAGTGCATCTTTATAATTATCGTGACACGATACTTTAAAATAATATTCCCTTTTAATTATCATAGAGTTATGAGTTATCAACTTATCATTATATTTTTAAAGAATGTCTCATTCAGTAATTTCAGTTAGCAAAATTATTTTGATTTATTTTATTTCTAATCGTCGATCAAAAGTCAAATTTATAATTATCCCAACTCCACCAAAGAAAGTAATAATGTTCAATAATTGTTCGAGAGGACATCATGAGTTGGATACATCACCACACCCTAAATATAGTATCGTGCCAAGACTTCATGTGTGGCCTCTTCTTACACACCAAAGGCCCTACAGTTTTGGAACATTATACTACTAATAATACTAAAAAGTCAGAATAAAGGACCTACAATTTAGGCCTACGAATTTTACTTCGTCTAATCAAAGCACGTGAATTAAATGAGTTATATTGGTAATTCTTTTTCAAAATATAAAATATGGCTTCTTTTTATACCGAATAGAAAAAGACTTACTTTTATAAAGAAATTATATATGTACATGGTTAAATTGTTAAAAAGACTTACTTCATATGCTTTGTGTGACAAAGCTTCCCTGCCAGAGAAATAGCACAATCAAGCTCCTCATTTTGATAAAGCATTGCTGGATCGGAGACCATCGGCACCTTCCTCTTCTTGTATGCGGCAACACACACTTGCACGAGCCGCGTGAAAGGGCTGCCCGCGGGATCCAAGTTCCGGTACAAAGGGTACCCGAAAACAAACGTGACAATCGAGATTGCCATGGCTATGGTGGGGACTCCGAATCCCCACCCCCAGCCAATATTATCCTGTATATAAACCACTACGGTGACCGCCACCAGCATGGATCCCCCCATGCAGAAGTAGTACCAATTGAAGAATCTCCATGTTTGTGTCTTTTGTTGCGAGTCGGCCTCGTCGAACTGATCAGCCCCAAATGCCACCACACACGGCCTGATCCCACCCGATCCGAAAGCGGTCAGGAGTAGGGAGACGTAAAGGACCGCAACTTGTCCCGAGTTCGCTTCCTGGCAACTATGTTCTGGTTTGCACGCCGGTGGCCTTAATTGTGGTAGTATTGCCGATATTGTTAAAAGAGTCATTCCCTAATAATCAAGGACAAATCATTATACAAAATAAGTACATTTGTAATTTTCACCTCACTTTTTGCGTGATATTGACATGAAATTTGCAGCCGATTTTCAAAACTTTTGAATTTTGCACTATATCGTACAACATTTTGTGAAGAAAAGTTCCTAAACGCGTTCAAAGGCAAAGCCTAAAGCGGAGTGCAAAAGGTTCAAAGTTTAAAAGTTTTGGAAATAGAGTGCAAAGTTCAATATTATCCAAAAAGGGGAGTGCAAAGTCAAAATATCTCTTTTCTGGTACAACTTTGCTTTTTATAATGCTAGAATCATTTTAAGAACCATTACATATCCATCGCTTAAAATTGGACATCACTACAATCACAATAATTGAAAAAATGCCATATCATAAGTCATAACAACTATGTAAAAGTCAAATTTGTATCTACAACTTTCTTCCTAGTTCTTTACTTGTCATAACTTTATAATTCGAAAAATATTGATATATTTATCTCCAAAAAGTAACAAATCTCAAACTAGTCTTATTAGATTGACTTTTTTAAAAGCATATCTTAAAAACAATACTCATAGATACTTACAATTTGATAGATGATGGAAGCAATAGTTATGGTCCAAAACCTTCCGGCGAAGGTGTCGGCGAGGAAAGCACCGAGCAAGGGGGTCAGGCTGGCGGTTCCGCCGAAGTTGGTGAGAGTATTGGCCGCCTTAGTTAATGGAAGATGCAACTGAGTGGTCAAGTAGATAATCATATTAGCTGCAAATCCCACCACGGCCAACTTCTCACACACCTCATTGGCTGCCATCATCATACAATTAAACTAGTTAATTAAAGCATTAATTAATTACAATTATTGAAGCTAAGAATTAAATTCAAGAAGGTAATTGAATTAATTGAGCTTATACCAAATATGAATGGCATGGTGATCATTCCACCCTTCATTCTTTTGGGGACGGCTTTCTCCATGGTTCCTTCCTTCATTCTATGAGAATTAAGATGGTTTAATTTGGTCAGCCAGCTAGCTACTTACTACTATAATTCTTGTATCAAGCTAGCTAGGTCATGTTTTGTGTGTGTCCAAGATTTGGGTTTTATAGGTGGGGTTAGTTATCAAAATAGGACTAAAAGTCACTCAATTTGCACAAGTAGGACCAAAAAATAAACTATGTTTTCATAGGACTAATTATGTGTGTCTTGGACAAATATACCCTTATAGCTATTGAAATGTTTTAATTCATAATAAAATAACAAAAATTCGTAAAAAATACTAAAACATTAATAAAACTACTTCAATAATAATTTATTTATATTTTTTTAAAAAAAGAATAAAAAAAATAAAAAGCCCAACTTTATGGCTTTTATTAATCATATTTAGTGGTCTCTGGGATTATTTCGGGCTTTTATCTGTTAAATTACCAATACTAGTAATAGGACATCGTTTGGTCAAAAGGCCAACTTTATGGCTCAACATTAATTTACACATCATATAAATATCATCTAGACCAAGATTGTAACACCCCGGCCCCGTAGGCCCCGAGGTAGTTACTTCTGACCTCTAGTACTGTCCTCACAAACCGCCACTAGCCTTTTCCGCGCACTTTGTCTTCACTCGTGCGCGCCCTGAGAAACTCCCGTGCAAGCACACTTAACTTTGGAGTTCTTGGTTAATGAGTTCCCTTAAAAGGAGATACACCTTGTTGGTATGAGTATTACTATTAATCCGTTTAAATTAAATCTCAAGTATTACAATCACCCCCACTTAGAAACGCAACGTCCTCGTTGCGCCCATAAACCAATCTCAATCATATCCGAGAATCTTTTCCCCTGCTAAGTGCCCGCCCGATATCCAAAGGATCAGCACACTGTCGCAGGGTTTCTCTGATACAATTTGTAACACCCCGGTCCCATAGGCCCTGAGGTAGTTACTTCTGACCTCTAGTACTGTCCTCACAAACCGCCACTAGCCTTTTCCGCGCACTTTGTCCTCACTCGTGCGCGCCCTGAGAAACTTCACAGAGGATCACCCATCCCAAGACTACTCCTGTGCAAGCACGCTTAACTTTGGAGTTCTTAGTTAATGAGCTCCCTTAAAAGGAGATGCACCTTGTTGGTATGAGTATTACTATTAATCTGTTTAAATTAAATCTCAAGTATTACAAAGATAAATATAATATGTGATCCCGGAAATATCGGATGGTCCCCGCTCTTTGTGTAGGCCCAACGTGAAAGTTACTGTTCAAGTAACGGTAAAAATGGGAATGCGTCATCTCGTAAATTCATTAGTCATTCCTCATGACTCAATATGTGTTTTGATATTTGTTGACACTTTAATAAAATGTTACACTTCTTTTTAAGCGGTCCGGAGTGTATGAACAGATAAAATCTTATCTCTTTGTTCCTATACCAAAATATCTTCAAGGTAGGGTCCTCCAAAAGTACTCTCCTTCAATGTATCAAATTAATCATATATTTATCAACCATTATTTTGGATTCTTAAAATATTTATATTTCTTCTGTCATCAATTCATATCTTCCGAATTATTAACAACCCGAGAATTAAGGGCTCACAATTATCGAATAGTGGCCCCGGCCCACTCGGTCGTCCAGTTGTCGTTCTTTATATCATTGGGGTCCACGATCCATTTCTACTATCATAATAGTATCGTTTAGGTCGACATTAATATCTTATACACTAGGAATACCACATGTGGTCCGCGCTCCCAATGTGGGTCCCGCGTGTAATTTTACTACACGATAAAAGTTAATCAGTAAAAATAAATTTATCGCACCTTTCATCTAGGTGCCAAGTCTAATTTATCCAACGTTATATGTGAACATTTTCTGAAAGTGTTCTTACACCAACTCCTCTACGTGAGTTCCACGTCTGATTAATAACCCTTTATTAATTTAAGACAAGAATTTTATCTTTCTCATTTATCAAGGCTACTCTTAGTCTTGATTTACCTTCTTTAACCACGTACTTGATGAAAAAAAATCTCTAGGTAAAATTCGAGTCCGGTGTTACATGAACAAAGAGAAAACGGTCTTCCCACTCTTCGGGGGCAGGGGGATTATCCGTAAATAGCTGGCGATCGGAACGAGCGATCAACCTCAAGTACCCAATAGTCCAGTAGGGCTGGTAGCTATAATGATATAAAAACAGATCAACATTAGGGGGAATCCCCATATCATGACACCAGATGATGAAACCGGCCAAGATACGGTAGGTGCTAGGCACGAACTGAGCCGGAAGCACAGAAACCCGTCGCAAAAAATCCACAATAAATGGGTGCAGAGGAAAGCGAAGCCCGGCCGCCAGGGCGTCAAGGTGTACTAACACGTGCCCCGATCGGTGTCTCATAGGATGCTTAATGAAACCTGCATAATATTCCCTAGAGGGAGGCAGTAATTGACGAATCTACCGTTCGGCATCCCCAGGAAGGCGCTGACGCTGCTTTCTGATGCGATGGAAGTGAAATGAGATGCGGGGGGGCGTTCAGGCATCCCCTTCTCGTAAAGGGCAAGATCATTGCCCGAGGAACATCGATCGTCCGGGAGAGGCTGATCGGGCTGATGGGATGCAGAGGAGTTGGAAGAATCCGATATTTGGGAAGAAGAACCTCCCGCGTGACCGGCAGTGTTGTTCTTTCCTCTGGGACGACGAATGAGCGACATATCTTCTGTATCTGAAGAACAAGAGGAAAGTGACATAAAAAGGGACTAGGTGCCTCAGAAGAACCTAATAATTTTAGAGAGAGAAAGCCTAAGAGAAATTGCAAAAGATTGAAGAAGCAACAAGAAAAATGAGAAGGAAGCACCTCTCTTCTTATAGAGGAAAGTGCCGCCCAAAACCCGAATCGATATGGGACACGTGGCAAAAGGTGGTTGCGAGCAATCATGACATCTCCAAGTTCACGACACAGGACTGCATACCCGAACGGGAATATACCAAGACTCACATTCTGAACAAAGATCAGGAAGAAAAGACGTGACGAGATTCTTGAGTTCATAGATAAATTCCCGAACGAGAGAAGGCCACGGTAAACCACGAAAAAAGTTCAAAGTCCAAGCAATTAAAAGAAAGCTGAGAAGATTCTTGACTACATACCAGTTTAAGCTATACTCAAGATGATGCCTTGAGTCAAACTTCACTACCTAGATAATACTCCACGAACATTCCCTGGATGGGGAGTCTATTAAGGAAATAACCGTCCTAAGTTATCGATCGAACCCGGGGAGACTATTGAGAATCCTTGGCCAAACACAGTTTAAATCCCCCGAACGGGGAGGCTATTGGGAAGATGCCTAAGGAAAATAGCTAAGTCTTAAAGAAATCGGCCGAATCCCGAAGAGAAGAACGAAACACAAAAGGATGTAAAAATAAAGATAACATATGGGCAAAAAGATTTCATTTTTATTCATCGGCTCTACCGGCCAGGAAGTACAATGGTCATAAGTTCTAAGCAAAACAATTACAATGATTAAAGAAAAAACAAAGACTGATCTACTGGCCGGAGGCTTCCTCTCCACCGTCATCACCTTCGTCCTCGTCATCTTCTGATTCAGAGGGGGACTCAGGCTCCTTTCCAGCCTCACAATCGGCAGCCCGCTGCATTACTCGTTCATACTTCTCGAACTGGGCCATGACAATGGGGATTTGAGGGAGGTTTGATGCCTCGACCGGCCTCCCCAGCTGGTGCTGCAACTGGGCCACAAAGGGCTGCAAGATGTGCTGACAGCCCATGACATAGAGATTCTCGGCCAGGGAGTTGTTCCAATGTTTCCCCTGGGGATCCTTATTGAGAAGGTCCACTCCTGCCTTATGCCGCTCAGCACCCCGGGGGAACTTCTCAACTTGAGCCCCAAATATAGCTGGGAATTGCTACAGGGCTTGCTCCTCCTTAATGGCGGAGAACTCATCAGAGGATTTAAAAGCATCCCACACGACAGACAGATCCACATTCAATTCAGAAGGGCCGTCTGGGATGAGGGAGGCCATCTCTTCGAACTTGATCTGAGCGGCCTGAGCCACAGAGACCTTAGCTTGGGAAGCGGCAAGCTGAACCCGAAGCTCACCAAGTTCACTCTCGAGCTGTTTCTTTTCTTCCATATAGGCTTTCCGATCAGCCTCAAAAATACGTAGTGCAGCGGCAGCATCCTTTTCGGCATTGGTTCGGGCCACGATCAGCTCTCGTTCTTTCGCCAGACGAGCCTCCCACAGTTGCAGGCTATACAGCCCCATCTACAGAAGTTCAGGAAAGAAGGATGAGATGAGGAAAAACATAGGAATTATGTAAGAAACAAATGAGAGGAGAGGAGATAAAGTACCTTCAGAGCCGTTATAGCAACACAATCCTCTGCCCGATCGACAAGAAGATTAGGTAAATGAAAATTATTGAAGAATGCGGAGGTAGTCCAGATCTGGCTCGCAGAGGAACCGGCCTTCTCCAATATCTCATGGACCGGATCCTCCAGAGAAATTCGTCTGATCTGCTCCTTGACAGTTGCAGCATTGGCCGGATCGGCATCCATAACCACATCAGGAGCGGTTTGGAAATTCTCAGAGAAATGGTGCAGCTGGTCTGACCCAAACGGGTCGTCTATCAACATGGCATCAAGGTTAGCCTGCTGGAAAGGAACCTGCTGAATAGGTTGAACCTCCTAGGCAGGCTGAGGCTGCTCGGTATTCTGTGAACCAGCAACAGAAGATTTGGGCTGCGAATTCTTCTTAGCTTTCTTTCTCTTGCCCACACCACCGGCAGTGAGTAGGCGACCATCATCCATGACAGCGTCTGGGTTGGGGGTTAAAAAAATAGCAAGGTAAACGTTAGTACCCAACGGTCTTACCCCATGGGAAACAAGGAAGGAAAACGTTTCTCGCACGGGAAGGACCACCCGACCCATGGCACTTGGTTTTCAATAAAGTAAACCCAGGAATACGAGCAATACCTATCTCGACTTGGATGAGCTGATCAGGGGTCACGTATTTCATAATGTTGAGGGACTTGTCCTTCTTCACCGCAAAAACATCCTTGCTAATCTCCTCGGTAAAGAACATATCTGGAGATTT